CAGTTCTAGAGAAGAGAAATGCTCACTCTGTCCCCTCAAGGGGAGTGTCCTTGTCTCTTTTCAGCTTCCGCTCTAGGTGCCAAGGAGCTGGTGGAATAGTAGGTGACGAATGGGGCCACTGGCCACAAGGTCATCAGTTTAAACCCAACCAACACTCCAAGGAAGAAGCATGCCACTTGCTGATTTCTTGAAGAGTGACAGCCTTGGAAGCCCACAGGGCAGCGCTCCCCTGCCCTATAAGGCCACGGTGAGTCAGAACTGACTCCATGGCCGGGAGTAAGTAACTCTGTCCTGTGCTGATCACACAGTCTCCTCTGCTCTGGCTCTCGTTCTGGTTCAATCAGCCTTTTTTTTTTTTCTTTCTTTCAAAAGAGGTAGGCTTCAAACACACCCTCCACGAATACTACTTTATTAACATAACATGGAAAACTCATTCCCTGGTGGGGTTATAAGTATAGGTATTGGGGGTTGGGGAGGAGCCCTGGGGGCGTGGTGGTTACATGCTGGGCTGCTAACCACAAGGTCAGCAGTTCAAATTCTTCAGGTACTTCAAGGGAGAAAGAGGAGACTTTCTACTCCTGTAAAGAGGTACAGTCTTGGAAACCCACAGTGACCGTTCTGCCCTCTCCTACAGGGATGCTACGAGTCGGCATCAACTCGATGGCAGTGAGTTTCATTTTGGTTTATAGGGGTTAGGATTTATAACCATCGTCTGTCTTCGTCTGGGAGTTCTGCTGAAGTCTGTCCACCATGGGCAAGCGTTCTCATCTTCGAAATACCGGCGGCATTGCTTTCTCACATCATGAGAACATGAAAGCCACACGGTATGAGAGATGGGTGGCACAATCCCATTGCCACCAAGTCAATTCTGACTCCTGACCACCCTCTGGGACAAAGTAGTGGGCTCAAACAGCTGACTTTGCAGCTAGCAGCCCAAGGCGTAGTGCACTCGGCCACCGGGGCTCCTTAATGTGCACAGGCCACTAGAAAGCTTTAGAGGCGAATCTGGGCAAGGCAAACCTGTGGCCCTTCTACAGCATGAAGGAACACCAGGGGTATAGAGGGTTATGTGTTGGCTGCTAACTGCAAAGGTCATCAGTTTGAAACCACCAGCCACTCCATGGGAGAAAGACAAGGCTTTTTACTCCTGTAAAGATTTACAGTTATCAGAAACTCCCAGGGGGCAGTTCTACTCTTGTCCTGTGAGGTCGCTGTGAAATGGATTCAACTCCATGGTAGTGAGTGTTGCTTGTATACTGCTGATCCTACCCTCATTATTGGGTTTATCCTGTTTTCTCTTTGTCTGTATTTGCCCAACTACATGTCCCCCCCCCCTTAGTTCATCTTGTATTCTATTGATATTTGCCAGCTGCATCGATAAATTGTGTAGGGAAGGAATTGAAATAAATAAAATTCAATGTTTTTTGCTTTGATTTATAATCTACATAAAACAATCAGCATTTAATAGATGATGTCATTAAGCGGTCATGTGTATAGGGGTCTGTCTGATTCCAATTCCCAGGCTCAGAAAACCAATCACGTGTAAGTTCAGGGTGACATAGAAAGCCTAATGAAGGACATTTAAAAGGACATTTAAAGGACACTGTGACAGAAGAACTTTTTGATGGGCATTAAACCATCCTTTCCCAAGTTATTTGTTCACAAATCAACTCCAAAAGTAGGATAATTGAATTGTGGCCAGAAGAGTTTGCTCCTGCAATTACAGGTGCCCTGAGCTAAATAACCTGTCTCTTCACCTACTGGGAGCGGTAAAGCCTTGCAACCCTGTTACTATTAGCGGGATATACTTCACTCCGTTTACTTAGTAATTTAAAACCCACAACACACTTTCCAAAAAGTAGATACACAAGTTTATCCTGGATCTGCGTACTTCTAAATTAACCTCCACCCCAGTCACTTTGGGTAATGTTCTGTCAAGTCATGTTGGATGTCCGATTGATCTTAGCCCCAGACCTTACTGAGTTCTGTGGCATCTCTCACCCCTCCACGTGTGCAAGAGAGGCGGGTGCGTGTGCTTGTTGACCCTCTATCAATATCCCCCATTCCAGGCAGGTGCCGGATGCACTTCTCATTTCTTCTCTCACCTTCACGCGTCTAGACAAGGCTGGCTTCAGGTTGTCTAGTTTGGGGCACTGTATGTTTTACTTGGTACTCGATGTTTGATTTATCATCCTTTTAACTTGGATGATCACTGACATTAAACTGGAACTTTCAACATTTTGAGTGTGGGAGTGGACGCAGAGCAGGACGTCTGTGAAAGTGGATCTTTGATGTTCTCGCTGCTTCCCCCCGATGAAGAATCCAGGAGAGAATAGGTAGAAAAGCACGTTGTACTATTATGCCTTGGGACCCCATAAATAACCATTTCATACATGACATTTGAATAGCGTGACAAGTTTAAGGGACTGATTAATCTGGAAGGAGCAAGCTCTGGTGGCATAGTGGTTACATACTGGGTTGCTAACTACAAGGTCATCAGCTCGAAACCGCCAGCCGCTTCTCAGGAGAAAGACGAGGCTTTCCACTCCGGTGAAGAGGTGTAGTCTCAGAAACCCACAGGACGGTTCTACCCTGACTTACAGGGCTGCTGCGAGGCAGCAACCACCAGATGGCAGTGAGTGTTTTGAAAGAATTAAAGTCAGTAGCTCGAAACCACCAGCTGCTCCTCGGGGGAAAGACGAGGCTTTCCACCCCTGTAAAGAGTTCCAGTCACGGAAACCCACTGGGGCAGTTCAACTCTGTCCTGTAGGGTCGCTATGAGTTGGAATCAACTGATAGTGAAGGAATTAATTTGAAATGGAACCCTGGTAGTCCCATGGGTTAGACCTTGGGCTGCTAATCGCAAGGTTGGAGGTGCAAACCCATGCCCTGCTCTGAAGGAGCAAGTTGCGGCTATCTGCTGTTGTAAAGATTTAGTTTTGAAAGCCCTGTGTCGGGTCACCATGAATCAGTCAAGTCAATGGCAGTGCGGGTAATAGAAACGGAGAAGCCTTCAGCTGCTCACGGAAAGGTTGGTGGTTTGAACCCCCCAGCTGCTCCTGGGAGAAATATGTAACAATCTCCTTCCCCGGAGATTGACAGCCTCAGACGTCCTGTAGGACAACCCTGCTCTGTTCTACTCTGCAGGGTCTCAGTGAGTGGACTTGACCAGCAGCAGTGGGCAATGAAACAGCACTCATGCTTGAGCTCTTCCCTAAAGCTAGAGTTTCCAGCAGTTGTCCTTAGGAGGTTGAGCAGGAAGCCATCCTTGAAGTCGGGGATGAGAACAGCTGTGGTCGGAAATGGGCCTTCCCATTCAGGGAATGCTGGTATATGGGGTGTGCAGGTGCTGTCAGAGTGCCTCGTCACTGTCTCGTATGTAGCTCTGAGCAGCTCGCTGAGTCTGTAGAAGCAGTTCAGGGGGGATCCTGCAAGGAGAAACGGGGCGTGGTCTGTGTTTAGGAAGTGGCAGGCATGTCATGTTCTAGAACAATCCCCTAAATCGGTTGTATTAATAGGAGTAGGTTTGTGCTCCACATGGACCGTTTCTCCAGATAGGAGCCCTGGCTTCCAGCTACTGAATCTCTGCCGCTCCCTCACGGTGCTATTTCCTCCCTCCAGGCTTGCACCGGCTTCCTGCTGCGCTGCGCCCTCATCGGACCTCTGACTGGTACTGCTCGGTCCCAGCAGCCCCCCTGGCTCTTGCTCCTCCTTGCTCAGATATGCAGAGCAGGGGCTGCTGTCTCCAGACCTCACCAGCCTGCTTCTTGGGCTTCTTCCAAATCCTTCAACATTTATGGCAGAAGTTTGCCTTGTCTTAAGCTTGCATGGAAAAAAAAAACCTTGCTTTCGCTGTAGGAAAAAGTAAACTCTAAAACTAGTCTCCCTGTCTCGTTGTGAAACGATGCTGTGGGTCTATTGCCCCCTTCAAACGCATTTTAAATGAAGGTGAGCCTTTTGAAAGGCTTTGTGGTGATTTAGTGACGACTTCTCCTAAATTCTTTATTCTTTTTATTTTAAAATCGGTGCACCATCATCATTCCTCCCTACCCCCCCAATCCCCAGACTGAGGGGGTAAAGAAAGTTGGTTCCGAGTTAATAGTTACAAACCATGCTTAATTGATCCTTCAGCCCTAGCCGGAGGCCCGAGTGTTGAGGGTGCAGGCTGGTGGCGTCTCCTCCCTCCTGTTGTTGAGCTATCATTCCCCCCCACGAGAGGTGAATAGTGGAAACCAGGGATGGTAGAATTTCAGCCCCACCGCCCCTTGCCCTTCTTAGTTCTGACGGCAAATTCAGCAGACGAGATTCAAAGCACCAAAATCCCAACGGAACTGCTACCAAGCCGATTCCTAATCCCAGGTTCTCCCTAGGACGGAGCAGAACGCCTCCCAGGGGGTTCCAACTAAGGTGACCAGATTTTAACATTGGTAAAGCGGGACGAAAGCTGGACACCATTGATAAATAAAACTCATAATATCCTGGCGAAATAGCCACATGGCAGCCGGAAAACCGTATACCCTAGCTTGTCGTGCATTCTTTCCAAAAATCGGGACTTCTTAAAAAATGCTGCGGGATGCAGAAAAAATTGTTCAAAATCGGAACTGTCCCGCCAAAAGTGGGACGTCTGGTCACCTTATCCAAGACTCCTTTTCTTACAAGAGCAGACAGCACACACACACACACACACACACACACACACACACACACACACACACACACACACACACCTCTCTCCCTTTGAACGGCTGGTGGGTCTGAACAAACTTCTGACCTTGCACTTAGCAATTCAAAGCACAACCCCCTGTATCACCAGGGCCCCTTACAGGTGAGTTATGGATCCCCAAACTGTAGGTTTTCCTGGTGTGTGTGTTTCTCGGTCCCCTTCGAGGCAAATGAGTCGAACACAAATGTCTGACTTTACTCCAGAAAGGAGGTCTTCGTCTGCTGGGTGCGAGCTGACAACGTTAAAAGGAACACGCCCCGCGTGGCTCTCGGCACGTGACCCACTGAGAGTCATGACACCTGTGTCTTTGTTCCCTCCGCCCCTTCCCGTGGGCTCGCAGCACGTGTGGAGTGAGAGCGAGGACTGCCTGCCTTTCCTGCAGCTGGCTCAGGACTACATCTCCTCCTGCGGCAAGAAGACGCTCCAGGAAGTCTTGGAGAAGGTCTTCAGGTCGTTCAGACCGGTAGGTGCCTGCTTGGCTTCGACAGATGGCTTGCTTGTTTTCATAGTGTGTTTTGAATAACATGGATTATGGGGAAAGTGGGCAAAAACACTCCCCTGGGATAACAAATTGGTTTTTTTTTTTTCTCTTGCTGGCCCTGGGCTTCAAGATAGCAGCCAGTGCTGGGGATGGGGTGGGGTTGGGGAGGGAGGGGAGGTGACACAGCTGTTTGGCCAAGGGGTGATGGTTATTTCTAGCATGGCTTGAGTTGAGAATCCTGGACAGGGTGGGAAGCAAGCAGATCCTTTGTGAGACAGCTGAGTGTCCCTGTTCTCCCCCAGTAGGCTTAAAACCAAAATGCTTGGAAGTTGTCATGGAAGTTCTCTTGTCATGCCGTCACTGCCGGGGGGGCCCGTGAGTCACCTGACCCTAGGGGTTTCCTAGTCTGAGCTTTCCAGGAGCAGCGCCACAGGACTGGGTGGGGCTGCTATTGGCTTCAAGCCAGCCTTTCCGTTAGCAGTCAAGTGCGTTACCTGGGTCACCACCTGGGGACCTCGCTCTTGGAATGAAAACCGAAAGACCAAGCTCACTGCCACCGAGTGGATGCCGATGCCCATAGCCACCCTACTGGACAGGGTAGAACGACCTCTGTAGGTTTGCAGGACTGTAACTCCTCTCTCTTCTGTGGAGTGCTGTTGGTTTCGAACTCCTGACTGCAGATCACAGCCCCACTCAGAGCCACTGCACTCCCAGGGCTCCTGTCTCAGAATGGTGGGAGTTATATTGGGGTGGCTGGGGAGTTGTCCAGGGCCAGTGTATGTGATGGACCATTATGCCAGTAGGCACCAAGAAGGATACAACTGGATATTGAAGCTGTTCTTCTTGCCCGTTATAATGCCCCCTTGGAGAGAGCTTGTATTTCTTGTTCTCCCTCCACCCCTGTTTCTCTTGGGATTTCGGAATCTGTTTGTTGCTAACTGATGGTACCTTTCAGAGCTGCTGAATATCGGAAACGGATACCCACCCCCTAGTTTGAAGATCACCTGTTTCTCTCTATCTTTATTGGACGATTAAAGTCTGATGATCAGCACCCTGCTTTACCCCCAAGCACGCACACCTGTCTGCCCCGGCCCCAGCCATGTGGAGCTCCTTGCCCATAATTAGACTCCTTACCATCAGCGGTATTTGCTTTAGAATTTCAATTCTTTATAAAAGAGAATTATGCTGTCTACTTATCCTTCGCTGCTGAAATGCCCGAGCGTCTGTTCTGTTTTCTAGAACCTAGCTAGCTTGGCTACATACTAGATGGTGTCTGCTGTCCAGTGTCGCCAGCCTCTGTGAGCCGGCTGTGAGCCAGCTTGTCTCTCGTTTCTGCTGGCCCTCCCCCTTGGTGTTTGGTTTCCTTGGGTGTGGGCTTATCTCTGGCCATGTGGTCGTTGTCGGCTGGGAGAATGAGTGTGTAGGAATACATGGAGACACAAAGAAAGGATGGCAGCTTCCTCTAAAGCAGGAACACTGCTATGCTTCCTCCGCGGCCTGTAAGCCCCCTCAGCCCGAGAGCGCTCCCGGTGATAATAAGCCAGGCTGCCCGGCTGGGCTGGGCCCTGGCGACCCCAACTTAAAGCGGGGGGGTGGGGGGTGGATTTGTCACAGGTTGCTCCTTTGGAAGGCCCTGTGTGTTAACATTTCATTTGCCCCCACCCACCACCTCCTGGAGAAGGCAGCAAAGTTTCTAGCTGTTTCTGCAGATCAGCAAATGCCCCTCAGGACAAAAGCAGCTTTCTGGGTTAGGCTGCCCTCCCTGAGGGTAACTGTTCAATAAAGGAAGGGCTGGCCACTGCCATCACCTTCTCAATTCTGTTTGTTGTTGTTTCCCCCCACAGATTGGTGAAGCCCCTTTGTCCTTAAAAAGGTGTCCTTTGAATTGAATCCAGGATTTTATCTGGTTCCCAAGCTGGTCTTTTGGTCACAACAGGAACGGAATCTCTGTGGAGTTGTCACTCTCTCAGGTTTGTGTCCTTTGGGCGATGCCGTGGAAAACCACTTGGCTGCCCATAGGTCAGGGTCTGAATCCTGCGAGAGCAAAGACCTGGCGATCGCTCCTGTTCTGATTAAACCCCACCCAGCCCACTCCCACCGAACCCTTTCTGACTCAGCAAGCCTGGGAGACAGGGGAGCGGCCCTGTAGGGTTTCCTTGGCTACGGATCTTGGCGGCACAGACTGCATGGCCTTCTTGCTGCAGAAGATCTGGGAGGTTCAACCACTGGCCTTTCCA